ATTCTGTGTTTTTCTGTCAATATGGGGTGCTGTGTGTACATTAATGAGGAAAAAAAATGAACTTAAATGATTTTAGCATATGGCTGCAATATAACAAAGAGTGAAAAATTTAAGGGGGTCTGAATACTTTCCGTACCCACTGTATATCCAGCCATCCTGCAAACAATGCCCTGCAACAAGCGGTGGTGTGCGAGGGTGACTGGTGGAGGACTGAGACTCTTTGCCATTTTTGTCATCATCTACTAACCTTTAGGTCCCTGTGTACTATGCCATTTATGTGGCAATGATTTACACTTTCTAGAATCTGCTGTATGCAGTGACGGTGGAGGAAAGAGAGAGCAGGCCAGAAGCCCCAATAAGGAAAGGATGAGGGGGAACAGGTATATGTCAGGAAACAAAGGAACAAGAACAGGTAAACAGAACACACCACGACACATGAAGTAACAACACTTGATTGACAAAGGCAAAGATTTAAAGGAATAGTTCAGCATTTTGGGAAATAAAATGATTTTCAATTGTCTGTGTGCAAAGTACGGGAGGCAGTTAGCCTAGCTTGGCATAGAGACTCAAAGTGGGGGAAACGGCAAGTCTCTCTCTGGCTGAAGTTCAACACCTCTGAAATTGCCTTAATTCCCAAGATACGTATTACAGTAATTAGTAAGGTTACACGATCAAGTCTGAATGACCAATAGCTCTACTCCATAAAATACTGACTTTTTTCCTGACTGTCAAATTTTAGTTTTGACTATTATCATTTACACGAGTGTTAACACTAGACTTTTTATAATGAAACCTTATCAAACCTCATAACAATGAACAATCAAGGGAACATTAAAAGTTCATAGCTAAATGCAAACTGATGGGAGTCACAAGAAAGGTCAAATTCTCATTAAAGGCAGAGAACACTGTTTCCACTAATATATAAACAGACATAAAAACAAAACATTTTTGTTTTTTTGTTCATGATTCCAGTCTTTATGCTAAGCTAGGTTAATCATGTCCATACTTAACACACAGACATAAGACTGATATTGATCCTCATGTCACTTTTGGAAAGAAATCAGTCCTCAGCTGTTTCTTTGAGCCATTTCAATTTAACAAGCAGAGATAAATACAGAGGACACATACATGTTCATCAGTAAAGCTCCTACAAATAACAAGATTAAACTAATTTTTACAAATCAATAAAATCTGCCATAAAAGAGAAGACAAATTTTGATCATCTACAGCTGATTTCTAAAGCCAACATTTAAAAAGAAAAAAAAAGATTCATTTTGATGACAAATCCTGGAGCCACTCAAGTATCTGAAAGTCTAACTTCAACCCAGCTCAATAGAAAAATATTAAACTCTTGAAAATAATCTATATCTTTCATTGCCCTTTAATGGAAATGTTTTGGCATGAAGCTGCGTTTCTTTACAAACATATATATATATACATACATATACATATATATACATATATATACATACATATACATATATATACATATATATACATACATATACATACTGTGTATATATAAACAGGCTTTGGGGCATAAAACTAAGTTAGCACAACAGGAAACCTACTGCACAATGACAAGTGGGTGCATTTTTGTGCATGGATGTCTGGTAAATTCATATTCCCATACAGTATACATCAAAACATTATCACTAAGATGTATGCAATTATATAGCCTGTCTGTTTTGTACAATTTTTGGTTTAACCAAAGCCCAAAAACAATCAAGCCCATTAAATTTGAAAAACAAATGGATGAATAACTGAACTATAATGACTGATCCATTTTTAAGAAGCAGCTGTAACAAAAGCTATCAAGAGAGATTCATTTTATAATGTTAATACTTTGAATGCCCTCTTTTTCTTTGATGACACAGTCGATCCTCCTGGGCATTGATACCAGTCTTGCATGAATCTGTGCCAAGCCTCCGGAGACTGGGAGTCCTCTTTTCACTTAGAATGTGGGGATATGAACTTAATCTATAAATGACATCTCCTCTGCACCATTTGCACCCATGCAGCCCTGTATCAGTAGACTCCCTCCTCCATGTTTCATAGTCAACACTATGCAGTCACTGTGGTAGTCCGGGTCAAGTCTAAGCCAAACAAGCTGGACCACATCTAATCCAAACTTCTGGCTTCATCTGACCAAAGAATGTGCTGCCAATATCCATTTCTGTTTTTACTGCAAGGTTGTGTAAATAGTGACTTATGGTGTTATCTCTTGTGGTGTGAGCTTTTTTTGGACTTCCTGTACTTTCCAACCACTCTGCACCATGTTCAGCAGCCTACTTATGTTCTTCTACCCTCTCCCCTCTTTATGAAGTCTCATAATCTGATTTGTCACTAAATAACAGGTAAACTGGCTTTTGTTACATAAGTAATCTTATGTGTTATTGTGGCAATTTTGAGTAATTTAATTTCAGTGATAGGAGTTGTGTTGTATACTGTACCTACTGGCGGGTAGGTGTCATTATTTGCATGGATGTGACTTGGTTATCCTATAGCATGTATGTGTCTCTCTGAATATGTCTTTGGTGCCAAAACAGACTAAATCCTATTACAATATTGACAAAAATTCAGATATATTAACAGAGCATATGATCCATGCAGCTTGACAGAGCATGACACTGACCTGGCATCAGCTTCGCTATAGTACTCTCTGGCAACAATATCCTCAAACAGCTCACCACCGGTAACTCTGGCAGAAAAAGAGACAGAGAGAGAAACAACAACAGAGTGAGACAGAGGAAACTGGACAGAAAATGTATGTGAGAAAGAAGTGAACTGTGAAACACAGATGTTCATTGGTGTGTCTGGGGAAAAAGGCTTGGTAAGGCTGCACAATAACAAACCTCATCTAGATTACTTTTTCCCCAGTCAAACTGGATCAGAAGAATGATACTATGTGTTTTTGTACCTCAGTGGTGAAATCACTACAAAAACACATTTCAGCAGATACCGTCATACAGTATATGGATGCCATTTTTTTTTAGCTGGAATATATTTCCACATCTTTCCATGATTCGATCCCAGAGAGCTTTTCCAAGTAACACTGACTGGACTATCTATAACAAAACCGAGGCACAACAATAATAGAGAACTTGCACTATAATGTGATTCAGCTGCTGGCCCCTAGAGAAGGAAGTTATACAGTAGATCTCAATACACAAGTACAGTAGCTGAGCCCAAGATGAAATGGGAGAACACACTGCTTGCTTTTATTGCTTTTTATTAGGTGTGAGTACTGGGGTTAAAGAGAAACTCCATCCGTTTTATACCAGGATCAGTTTACTTAGTACTCCTCAATGTTTAAAAACAGTTGTATAATCTCTTGTGTGCCTCTGAACCAGCGTTCTAAAATAATTTTGATGGTGTCAACATCCTGTTTACAATAACATACGTGGTGCATACAGGGCCGCACCCCGCCCCCACCTCGGACACTCGGACCACATTTCTTTGTTCCTATATCCAGCTTACAAACAAAGGCTGCAACAAACAAACCCTGTCACTAAAAAAGTGAAACTTTGGAACACGGAGACTGAGAGCAGCCTGCAGAACTGTTTTGCTCAGACAGACTGGGATGTGTTTAAAGATGCAGGCACCTTGGATGACTTTTCTGTCAGCGAACAGGACTATACTGAGTATGTGACTGGGTACATCAGCACTTGTATTTAGAACATTGTGTCCACCATACAAGTCAGGAGGTTCCCCAACCAGAAGCCCTGGATAAACAGTCAGGTATGCCACATGCTGCGTGCTCGCTCTCATGCATTGAGATCAGGCAATGAGATGGAGTACAAAGCTGCAAAGTACAGACTGAGGAAAGCCATCACAGTGGCCAAGAGGCAGTACAGAGAGAAGCTGAATGGCTTCTATTCTACGGCTGACTCTGGACGGATGTGGCAAGGCCTGCAGCACATCACAGACTACAGGACCACCACGAGCATCATCCGCTCCACAGACAGCCTGCTGGATGACCTCAACACCTTCTACACCCGCTTTGAGACCTCCAGCCACAGCACAGAGAGAAGGCACACACACACACACCGAGACCACCAAACCCCCCTCCCTTCCATTAACTGTCTCATCTAGCCAGGTATGCAAAGCCCTGAGGAAGATCGACCCCCGCAAGGCAGCTGGACCAGACATCCCTGGGCGGGCTCTGACAGCATGTGCCAACAAACTGGCTGATGTTCTCATCACCATCTTCAACCTCTCCCTCAGCCAGAGCATCGCTCCCACCTGCTTTAAGACCACAACCATTGTCCCCCTTCCCAAGAAGAGCCCAGTCACCTGCCTGAACGACTACAGGCCAGTGGGACTCACTCCAGTCATTATGAAGTGTTTTGAGAGTGTGGTGCTGGCCCGCATTCAGAGCAGTATACCGGGCACCCTGCAGTATTCCTACTGGCCCAACAGGGCCACCTCAGATGCCATCGCGGCTGCCCTCCACTATTCCCTTTCTGACCTGAAAAATAAGAGACATCAGGATACTCTTCATTGACTACAGCCTCCCCAACAACCTGTCCACACTGGGTCTGCACCCCACCCTCTGTGACTGGCTTCTGGACTTTCTGACTGGCAGGCCCCAGTCTGTCAGTCTGTCTGTCACTAAGTGTTCTTTGTTATGCCGCACGGAGTGGCAGCAAGTTACAGCAGCTGTTGTGTTCTTTTCCGTGTTTTTATAAAGTCCTGTTCTTATGTGTCTGTTCTTATGGTGTTATGTTGGTTGTTCTCTATTGCTGCTGTACCACAGAAATTTCCCCACTGTGGGATCAATAAAGTACCTACTCTACTCTACTCTACTTGACCAGCTGCATCACTGTCTGGTATGGCAGCACTACTGCTATGGAGCGCAAGCGCCTGCAGAGAGTGGTAAAGACTGCGAAGAAGATCACCAGGACTCCACTTCCCTCTCTGCAGAGCACTTACCACCACAGGGTGCATAGTAAAGCTGCCTCCATCCTCAAAGACTCCACCCACACCAAGCACGGACTGTTCACGCCCCTACCCTCTGGCCGGAGGTTCAGAAGTGTGAAATGTAGGACCTCCAGACTGAAAAACGCTTTCTTTCCCTCTGCCATCAGACTCCTAATAGGCTGACAGGAGTTTATTACCAGGAATACGTCATGCAATGACATACTGACGACCTGTACTGTTTATATTCTCAGTTTGCACATGCATAATTGCACATTTCCTGTTGACTACTGCACATACAGCTCTCATGTAGAATACATTCTCTTATCTTCTTATTTTTATTATATCTCTGCATTTGCTGCTTTAAAGTGCCTTAGATTTTGTGTTACTTATCTACTTTATATTTCATTTGTATTGTGTGGCATTCATGTGGATGGCAAAGTAAGAATTTCATTGTACTGGGAAATGTGTTTCCGTATTGTGCATACGACAACACTTTGACTTGACTTATGATGGCACAGGGTTATTTTGACTTGGATTCTGGGACCCCAGATGTGTAACAGAGCACATGAACTCCGGACATGGGCTAAAAAAAAGCTACAAAGTTAAATTATGGGAAATGTAGAATCCAGTATTTCTGATGCTGTATCCATAGTAGGGATTATGAGTCAGAGTATCTCAGAATCAGCTTTATTGGCCAGGTGTGTTGGACACACGAGCAATTTTACTCTGATAAAGCGGCTCTCAATGCATATGTACATGTCTTTATATAAGGCAGCAGTGGGCAAGTAAACAATGTAAGGCTGACAACAAGTAAAGAAGTGATGTGCAATAAAGCAAAGTAATGTGCATTAGGATTAAACAAAGTACTATATACACACAGTCTATATGCATTTGACGGATCTATATGTACAAGGTATATTTACAGGTACTGCACTGAGAGCTATTGTCCAGTCAAACTGTCGTGGGTGAAGTGTTAATCACAGTGACTGCTCGGGGAAAGAAACTGTCCTTGTGCCTGGTTGTCTTGGCGCACAGTGACCTGTAATGCCGTCCAGAGGGGAAGAGTTCAAACAGATTGTGACCAGGGTGTGAGGGGTCTGCAGAAATCTTCTCTGCCCTCCTTTTGACCCGTGAGGTGTACAGGTTTGCCAGGGCAAGCTTGCACCAATGATCTTTTCTGCAGTCCTGACTGTTGACTCTGCTGCTTTACCTTGATCAGTTTTGCACAAACTCCTACATAAGAATAAGAACAGAAGACAAAACAAGCCATAGCTTCTCCTATTGTAAACAGGAGCTGCACAACTTGCAAAATAGGATTATTGAAAATGTCCATTTTTTTCTGGAGTATACTGTTCATCCAGCATGTTGCAGTGAAGGTGCAGTGGAAGGGGTGG